TGTTCCCAAATATCTGAATTGTGTCACATTTTTGAAACATCTGTTAGCTGTCTTTATATCATGATTTTGCTCTGCATTTTGGTGACAAGACAGAAACATATGCTTAAGTTTTCTCAGTGTTTACTCCTAGATCAACCTCTTTACTTGCATCAATTAAAGTTTGTGTGTTTCTCTTTATGGTATCTACATTATCACCCAGTAGATCACATCATCGGCATAGGCCAAAAGCTGATGTACCCCATTTAATACTAGTCCCACCTGGTTTGCCTGCACCTTTCTTAATGGCATATTCTAAAGCAAAGTTTAAAAGGAGTGGCGATAAAGCATCTCCTTGTTGTAGATCATTCTGGATAGGAAATTTATCAGACAAATGTTTACCTACACGGACTTTGCATGCTATCCACAGAAAAAGAGAAAACCGATTGCACTAAGATACACAAATATACGTATAATGAAAACAGAATATTCTTGTAACATGTTCTATTTTTGGATCAGATTAGTTTTAGCTGTAGTGTTCTTCTATCCCATATTTAACAGTAAATCATGCAGTAAATTTCTACAGTATAAACAACTATAAGAAAGATTTCCATTTCATTCCATAGTATAATCAATGCATTTATTTGTTTATGCATGGACTCTGTTTAATTAAATAAACACTAACTCTAAAACTAAGACTGTCTTCTCAATATTTGAAATGCTATTTACAAATTTTTTACAAGGTGGTGGGGAAATGTTTTGTAATTAATAACATACTCACAGGTAAATGACCAAGAAGAGATGTAATACTCTCTGATGCATAGAATATTCTTCCAGAAGAGGAAAATACCATGATGAAGCCATCCAATGCCTGAAAGGGAAACATAAATGTATTGCAACAAAAATTTCAAATTAAGGGTATGTCCTGACAATGAAGGCAGCACCATCTTCAAAATGTTGGTAACTGCCTACAAGACAACATGATATCACAACTCAAAAACCACAATTGAAATATGTACTCTAAGCCTGTACTTCCATTTTCAGCCACTCCAAAACCCAAACTAGCTGCCCACATCGGAGAAGGGTTACTGTCTACAGATGACCAATTTGGTTCTGGTCCACAAAAGCCAAGGTGCGATGCATCATGCCCAGGGCTTTGAAGCACTGAGTGGAAATGAGTGTCACCACAAATCCCTTTGGGTGACCAGGAAGCACTCAACTATCTTTATGCCTTCCACGCACATGGGGAACTGCAAGTGTGACTTTTTGATTCTTGTTCCTTTTGGGACCGAAATCCCCTTGTCAAGTAGCAAGCATCAGAGTGGTTCATAGAAACTCCATACCAGAAATCTACACACAAATAAGAGAGCTGGAGATACCAGCAAAATCTATGGAGGATGAGGCATCAACCAGGGGTAGGGACTTACCACGCAACGGAACCTGCCAGCAGAAATATGGCAGATTATTCTCAAGGGAGCCAGTAGTTGTGGTGCACCACTGCTGGGGGCTGGCAGTACTAGCAAACCTGTGGAAGGACACGGTCTGAAACATGTAGCCTCCAAAGTAGGCAGGCTTCAACTGAAAAAGACCAGTCTGCCTGGCAGTGCCAGAAGAGAACTAAAAAACTATAGGAGGCCAAGCTGAAACCAGGTGTGTACAGCCTGGGGGCACAAGTCTGTATCATGGCAAGACGAAACCATGACTGGGACCGTTACAAAAAAAAATTGTCTGAAGGAAGCATTCCTCAGAGGAATTCAACCTTCCCAAAAGGAACAGGGATGACAAAGATCAGGGGACTACATGGAGGCCTTCATTGATCCAAAGAATTTGAGGATTATCCTGAAAATATGCTAAACAAGAATTGCAAAGAGCTTATCCTAAAAAAAAAAGAGTGTTTTATGAGACACCAAAGGAGGAACTCCTGTACAGACAGAGTTGCTGGCCATCAGTTGGAGCAACAGCTTTTAGCTTACTTACTCATGGAGCTGAGCCCTTCTGGTTGAGTCGCCAATTCTGCAGCTACTCAAGAATTTCCCAATNGTGATGTATTGTGCTATGGAGGACATCCCCTCCTCCGCCAGCGGTGACATAACAACATCGAGCGCTGTCGCTGCTACAGTAACAGGCCAGTCAACGCTCCGCCCCCTCCCCCGCAGTGACGTGGCAGCGCTTCCCACTGTGATGTAACAGGCAACAACACCTGTTAAACACGGCGACTAGGTAATGGGGAAGCGAGGCGTTTTCCTTTGTCTGGCTGAGGGTTTATAAGAGAACTGCACTGCCTAAGGAGTTAAGTTAAAATGCAGCAGCCGCCAAAGACAGTTGAAATATAGCAGCAGTCACAGACAGAAGACCCAAACGTGTGGTTAGAAGATCTTATGTGATAATGTGCGATAACTGAGAAGTCAGCAAGTGAAGACTTATTGTGTGACTTCAAGATTGTGTGCTGTAGTACAGTTATATTGGGAGTGTGTAATTAAGAGAGACTTGTATAGCTCCCATGTTATAAATACGTGAAGACTACTGAAATGCTTATTGTGTAGGGTTGTAAAGTGTGTAAACCCGCAACAGTGTTATAAGTATTTGTAGTTACGACTTGTCGGTTGTTAAATAAACCAATTAACAATCTGAACGGCGTCTTCAGTAGCAAAACACGTTACATTATATACAATATCCTATCACTAACGAACTCTACCCTCTTAACTGCTGATACAATTCTCTTATGTAGCAGCCATAATAAATGGTCAAAGTTTGAGGGAAGGAATTACAGTGAAAGCAACGGATGGATTATCCTTGGTGATACTTTTAAAATAACCGAGAAGCATATCTAAACACTGTTACATTAGCACATGCCAGGATAACTCAATAAATAAAGTAATTAGCTATGGAAGGGACAGCCAACAAGTTCCTGGTTGAGGAAGATATGCTTCTCTCCACCTCATCCAGACTGGTTCTTTGGGCCATCAGCCTCTGCTTAAATGGATAATGGGGAGTCTTCTCCTAGGAATAAAGCAGCAGAGCACAATTCAGACAACCTACCTCTATCTAGAGTAAAGGTTAAGACTATACGTTGTGCGTTCAAGTTCTAAGGTCTCCGTTTTTTTTTTCCTCACACAATAATCATACAAAAAATTTGAAACTTCTGTCACTTTTCAACGTAATCTCCCTGCAGCTGTACACATTTTTCACAACGTCAATGCCATGATTCCATGGCCGCTGCGAACGCTTCTGTAGGAGTCTGTTTTGACCACTGGAAAATTGCTGATGCAATAGCGGATTGAAAAACGGCATCCTAGTCTCATCCATTGTCACAGTTGATGACAAGAAAGTCCCATTCATGCCTTCATCACATGTCAACATCGCCTGGCAAATTGCCATGCATGCAGCCTTGTTGTCGTCCGCCAGAATTCGTGGCACCCACCTGGAGGACACGTCCCGCATTTGCAGGTCTTCATGCAGAATTTTGTGCACAGATCGCACGGAAATGCCAACTTTGGAGGCGATGTTTTCCACACTCAATCGGCGATCCTCCAAAACAACTTTCTCAACTCGCTCGACCATGTTGTCAGACAGGCTGGTGCGAGGCCGACATTGTTTTGGTTCGTTGTCACCCGACGTTCGGCCTTCTTTGAACTGTCGCACCCATGAACGCACATTTTTCACATTCATGACACCATCACCACACGTCTCACTCAACTGGCGATGACTCTCAATGGGTGTCGCACCACGCAAGTGGAGAAAACGAATGATTACTCGCTGTTCTTGTAACGAAAACGTCGCCATTTTAAGTATCAAAAACACTTCTCACGCTTGCCGCTACCACTAGAGTTCTGTGTGCCGTAGAGTGCTGCCATCTCTGTCACGCATTCACAAAGAGTGCACACGTATTTTAAACTAAACCGCATGTGTCTATCTGCTCCCAGTCCTGAGAAAAAAAATCAGAGACCTTAGAACTTGAACGCCCCTCGTATAAGGCTTTATCTCCTCTCTTCCTACATGCCTTCATATTGTTGTGTTTGGCTTCAGAAGCAATTTTACCCTCCATCTCATAACTTCAACATGTTATCAGTAACACTGTATGGATCTATGGAACTATTTCAGCGAAAAAAATAAATAAATAAAAGATTATGCAGCCAAATGCTTGTATTTCATGATTTATTTTGCCAGTTCTTCTCTGTCATATGTACCAGAGGGAAGTTCTTGATCAAGCAGGGCCAAAGACCCCAGCCAAATAGCAATTCCAACACACACATAAAATATTTGTTAAATCAACCTGAAACACTATGGAATAAAATTAACTCCAATTAAAGAAACCTATGTAATTTTGTGCACATTTTATTGCTCCGAGATTTAGCTCTCGTATATAATCAACTAATGATTCTTATGAGAGTAAGCCATTACTGGTTAGTCGCTGGCTTCCCACTGCGGTGGCCTGGGTTTGATCCCATGTCTGGTCAAGTGGAATTTGTGGTGGACAAAGTGACAGGTTTTCTCCGCGTACTTTGGTTTCTCCTGCCAATCTTCATTCCTCCAATTGCTCCACAATCACCCTCACCTATCATCTGGGGCTGGCACAATAGGCCAGAAGCGGCTGCAGTACAAGGGACTTAGTTCCACCCCACTAGCAATTAAAAAAAAGCCATCACTGACTTAAATTTCAAAACTGAGTACTAAAGCCTTTCATGCATAGCAAGTCTTCTGAGAAAATTACACATACTTCTAAAATCAAATGCGTGAATTCTTCATTTGATAAGAATGATGGTTTCCAGTCCTCTTGAATTTCATGTGCACGTGATTGAACAGCTATTTCTGTCAAGAGAAACAAAGATCAGTATAAAAAATTCTGGTACACAAACTCATCCCCACTCCATCACCATTCCAATCTAAGCCAAACTAAGTCAAACTAAGCCAAACTAAGACAGCTTGAAAGTATCTGATCTGCTTTCTAATGGATGCTGATCCATGGTTCAGATCCAAAGCTGAAAGTGCCTCCTGCCAGCCCTCATTTTAATTCCCAGTATCAAACTAATATCAGAGGGAAAATGGAAAATTCCGGTCCCATACAAAATGTTTATTCCCTACCTCTGCTTAGAAATACTGGGTTTTTGGATTCTGTTCATCATCTGGTATATTAAAAACTGGAGAACACAACGTTTCAGAAACTAAATCTGTTTCCATCCTCAGGTGATTGAGGTTAACTCTTTCTAAGGAATCCAACAGAGTAGATGTCCTCCCCCTTCAACTGAGGATGGAAACAGATACAGTTGCAAAAATGTTGTGTTCTCTAGTTTTTAGAATACCAGACGACAGGCAAAGTCCAAAAACCCTGTAACTCTTGAGTGTTATACACCATCATCAGAACCCTTTAGAATGTAACCTACCTTGGCTCTTGCCAGGTGGACAGAGAACAAGACAATCAAACAAAATGCTCGGAGGAATACGTCACAACACATAGTATATAAGAAAAATCAATTATGTAGATTTAACAAACATAAAAACTGTGCAAGCAAATCATGTTTAACTTCAGTCACATATGCAGATCTTTTGTCTTATATCAAGAGAGTACTGATCTTCTGGAAAAAATAACATTATATTACTTACCATCATGATTTTTTAAAAATGAAATGGTGGATTTAAGAACTGTAGATTTGTCCATCTTGCGACTGTTGGTTGAGACCATTGAACTCAACTCATTGATCAGCATATTGAATTGGTCACGGCGTTTCTTCTCACTCAGGTTTCGAGATTTCCTTGACATAAGTAAGAATATTAACAATACATTGGAACACAATGAAACACTAAGCCAGACCAAAATCATGAACACAAATTTACAACAGCACATTGTGAATATGAACTGTTGCATGGTTTGATTAATAGGCCTACTAACATATGAAGGAGACATTCTCAGGTCACACCTAGCCTTTGATAATGTTTTTAAACATACGATTTAACACCACAGCATTTCATTCCACAGAAAAATGTACGGCTCCTCAAACAGAAAAAGCTCACATTAATACCAAAGTTCAGAACTATGTTGAACTGCCTTTTCAGCATCAAGGAATTATACATTGCGCATTAGTTCTTCTTCAACAATAAATCAAAGGTTCTACCTCAAAGATTTGAAAACTTACACAGAAAATTGAATAAAAGACTGAATTTTTTGTATCATGATACTGTGCCTTTCACACAACTCCACCATCAGATTTGTGTCTGGTTCTGTTCAATTCTATGACAACACTGGCCAAAAACTAAATGCCAGAGTTGGAACATTCTGTGTACTGGTCATATCTTGCCTAATGCAATCATATCAATACCTCAAAACTGAAAATTTCACCAGATTATTTTTTTTAATCTACTGAACACATTCAGAACAAGGTGACAGTAGTACTTGAAGCAATTCTACCCCTTTCTACAAACACAAACAGAGGTGCTGCTGGAATATTTAATAAAATATCAATTTTCACAGAATCAGCCCCACTTATTCTTCTGACAGACCTTATAACATCAAATATAACACATGAACTATTTTGTCTCTGTTCTTAACAATTACAATTATAATGTTACAATGAGAATAAACATACCGTTTTGTGTCATCCTTGTCGTCCGTGTCATCATCCATAGTATCACTGAAAATTTAAAACGTTTCCATCACTTACGTACGTAGTAAAAACTACAAAATTCTATATTTTCGTGCACGTCTGAAGTAGCCAAAATAATGATTAGAAATTCATATGTTAACAGCAAACTGTGTATAAACGTGGTACTCACTCTGACCTCCGTGTCGAGTCTCGCTTGATAAAACTAGACATATTTTGTGCTAAGTTAGTCACAATCAATGAGCAAACTACAGCGCACAGCATCAAACACCACCAGAACTGGTGTACAGAAGTCCGCCCATTTGACCATATTTAAAAAGAAATCAAGACACTTATTACACATAAATAAACAAGTACAAATTGATAACCTTCATCCTCTGACAGGCAGCCTCCCTTTCCATCTTTCAATTGTTTCACAGTTGGACCAGGAATGGTAAGTGAACGGATGCTCGTTTCCCTAGGTTAAGGGAATTTTCCCTTCTTGCAGCAATGAACATTTCACCAGGCTAAATATGCCATGTCTCATTATTTCATGCTACATTTTACAAAACGGTTTTTGGACATCTGACAGACTTGAAGAGTTCATATTGTAGCGTGTTGGGCAACAACCGCGAAACAAACAACGAAATAACGACAGTTGCTAGGCAGCAAATTCTGAACAAACAGCAACTGAACTACAACAAAGAGGAACAATTTTTTCTAGGCGGGCCGTTCCAAAGGGTTACAAACGCGAAAAAGTTGGAATTTAGTCAGTGATTGATTTATAGAGTGTGTAGATTAGTGAAAGTGTTATAAGTAGTTCACAGTAAGCCAGCTACGCCAGGTCCTGATTGGATTTAGTGATTTGAACGATACGTGTGTTGGGAAGTGCGGCTTTTACGGCATTCACTTTACGTAGTGTGTTCACTGTCAATTCATTTGGCGAAGGCGGCATCGGTGAAGTTTGCCGCCCGGCCACGGTTGTGCACAGTGCTGTGCAAAACAACAAAACAGGTCGGTGGACTTGAGTGTACACAAAGTTGTTGGATATCCTAGTATCGGGGTTCTGGAAATACTGAGCACAGAAGCTAGCATCGCTTAAATCAAAATGGCATGCCATCATGAACAAATATCCAGAAGCAACTTCTGTAGTGCTAGTATATAAAGTATTAAGTGACATTGAGATCCTCATCGGATGTAAACCGGCTAAAGTGGGGGGGAAAGCTCTGGGTGGTCATCTATTGTGAATAATGCGGGGGAGAACAGAGCACAGCTTTACAAAGCTGTAGATGGGAAGCTGCTTTTTACCGCTCTTTACCACATGTACACGGTAACACTGAATGAACTGAAGACCGTCCTTAAGGTGAGTGCATAGGCAGGACAAAGTGATGCAGTGAACAAAACCTCAGTGGGATCAACGGCTCAGGATGACGACTTGCGAGAAGTAAGGAGACGCAAGAGGCATATCTCTAAAGACATTTCACAGACAGCCAAGAATTCGACTAAACCAGTCCCAACATCCGCAGGTGTTAAGCTGCCTCAAAAAGCAATGTCAATTTGCAACTTCTTCGCACCTCTCTGAATTACTGACAGTCTAATCAAGCTTATTAGATCCTTTCTTTCTCAGAGAAAATTCAGAGTTTCGGTCGAAGGTGAAATATCTACGCCAAGGGAGATACAACGAGGGGTGCCACAAGGTTCGTCCTGTCCGCCACATTGTATAGTACATATACTCTCAGGTGTAGCGGTTGTGCGTCTGCCATGAGTCCGTTTCTTCGGCTTCCCGTGGCGCTCTACGGCTAGATGCCGATCTCCATGTCGCTTCTTCAGCGCTCTGACAGGTTTCACTGCAGCCTGTTTCTTAGGGACTTCCTCAAGCTCCACTACAGTATCTGACTCAGTGGCCTTCATTTCTCCCAGGTCACTATGTCAGCTTCCATTTGTTCCTGGCCTCTGTCGCTCTTAGGCAAGACTTCATCTATTCTAGGTTTGCATCAATCAGGGCTTTTATTTTTTTCTTCATTGGCTTTCATTATGACCGTCAACTCCTCACGGTTAGGTTATGTCTTGGCAAAATTGGCCGCCGCCCGCAGATGAATAAACCACCATGCAGGAACGGCACGGCGTAGGGGACGTGGTCATAAAGGACAAATGGTCGAAAAGAGACGACGGAAAATTCGGACCAGGGACTATTTTGCAAGAGCACCCCCAAAAGGACGGACGTTTATCAAGGGATACCGGGCAAATCCGATTGCAAACAATGGCATAACGGACCGAGGTGTAAAATGGTGTGATCTGATTTCACGTAAAGTACAAGTATTGTTTTAACTATGTCCACTGGCTAAATAACATGTACAGGGTCCGGGAGAGAAACCTGAAGTTTTTTATTTGGCACTAGTTTGGGGGTTGGTTGTGTGGGAAGAGAGGGCCCACTGACTTTCAACAGCTCAAAGTATACCATTTCATTAGACATGGAACAGTGGACCGCAGAACATCGTGCTTTCGTCGTTGAGACGTTTTTTTAAAACTGGTGACTGATATCCTGACTGAGCGACGTTTCCGTGTGCATTTTAATGTGGGTCGTCACGGTAAAGTTCCCAGTAGGAACACGATTTTGTTGTGGATTGCAAACTTCAGATAAACTGGCACTAAAAAGAAACCGCCTGGAGTTGCACGCACTGTCCGAACACCTGAGAATGTTGAGAATATTACGCCGGCCGTAGTGACTAGTCCCCGTTGTTCTGCAATGAAGCATGCCATTGCATTAGGCATTTGGATGGCATAATTTTCAAGAAAAAATGAGCTGGCAGTTATACACACAAAATGGCATACATTGTTAAGTATTATGACAAACAAAATAAGAAAAAGAAATACAAATTGGCTCCATTCTAGTAATTTAGAATCCATCAGGTTTTCCTGCCAGACCATATAGAATCAAGAGATTTATGAGTGACACAAATGAGTCTGCCTCTTTTTCAAGAAAATCGTATTTTCTTCACAATAAATTATCGGTGTTTTAATAACTGTCGTATATATCGTAGCATTACCAAAGGTTTACAGAGAGGACAGTCGTCTTACCCTCTGTCCTACTCTGGTTGACAATATATCATGCTAGTTATATTATGTTTCATGATGCTAATAACAGATATCAAAGCCGTCATACGTACCAATAGGAATACAGGAAAAACTTGTACTCTGTTCGTTTATGTAATCCAAAAGTTTCAAAAAGCTGTAAAATTTGCATCCCATCATGTATCCCGGAAATGCATAGAATACAGCTCTCAAAATCGGTTGCACAGCATCAAATGTGGCAAAGATGATCATTAGTGCTAAGTATGTATCTATTTTAGGCCGCACCATAGCTCAAGTGGTTAGTCGCTGGCTTCCCACTGTGGTGGCCTGGGTCTGGTCAAGTGGGATTTGTGGACACAGTGGCGCTGCGGCAGGTTTTCTCCGAGTACTTCAGTTTCCCTTGCCAATCTTCATTCCACCAAATTCTCCATCATCATGATCACCCAGGACAAGTACAATACGCCAATCAGTGGCTGCTGTGCCGAGTGGACCCTGCTGGACTCCACCCCCCACTATGTGAATTAAAAAAAAAGTATGCATTTGGAAAGAGGTGGTCATGGCCAAGGTGCTATCATGCAATTCCCCCAGAGACTTAGGAAAACCATGAAAACCCTGTTAGGATAACAAAGTCAATATTTTAACCACATAGCTCATGATATAAACCTGCTGGGTTCATCATACTGAGGTGCAAGAAAATTTGTACTGCACAAAATTTTAGTCATATATGAAAATGTCGTATGAGGCTTCTGTCAAAGGTGTGTGGGTTGTAAGCTACACTGTACAGTTCTATGTAATACAACACTAAAAAAACTATATATAGTAAAAAGTATACCTAATGACTTAATAAGCACTAGTAAACAAAACAAACTCTGTGGCCTGTAGTCCACAAGCAAAATATATCGACTGAGTAACCACCACTTCTCAGTGAAGTTAGTGCCAACTTTTGCAGATAAGAGTGTGGCACATGGTCAGCGCAACAGTTCCCCACGGCCGTTGATCTCGATTATCTAGACCGGAGCCGCTATTTCCTTGAAACAGCTCCTCAATTATCCTCATGAGGCTGAGTGGACCCTGTTCCAGACCCACTACTTCTCAGAAAATCTGGTCATACCGGGAATGGAACCCAGGAACTCTGACCACTAGACCACAGAGGCAGTCAATAAGACTATTATTAATAATAAATAAGTACACAGAAAATATGCAAAATAACAGAGATAATAATAAATTATACCATGAGGAAAATATTATCATTTCCAAGAATACATAACTATATATGATACCCTAAGCTTCGGTAGAAAGCTAATAAATAATTATGACATGTTTATCAATACAGCTATGTTCGTCCCCCCACAGATGAGTGAAAATGAAGAAAAAGTGAACCAAATGTAAAAATTAAAATATAATAACACTTTTATAGTGTATAGTCGTATGTACACATATTAATCTATCATACTAAAACAATAGTGTTTTAATACTTAAAGAATCACAGTTAAAAAGTGGTGAATATTAACATTCTAAGAGTGTTGTAAACAAATAAAATATGATAATGCCAGGAAATCAGTCGTTATAACTATAGTTAACAACATTAACTATGATTATGTAGTCTTTCAAAGGGTCCTTTATGAAGAGAAGTGACATTGCAAATTTAATAATGCACTGCAATACCTAGTGGCATAGATGTGTAACCATATGATGGATCTTCTGGAGGGGGTCAAAACATGTAGTGGCTCAAGGAATGTGTGGAAAAACAATATATGTTACATTCATGAGTTCAATAAAATAAACTGTATAATTCTACCTGATCTCCTGTGGCTCTAAGGGCAGAAAAATCCCTACTTGGAGCAGGAGCTACACCGGATTTCTGAAGAAATACACAATCGCAATTTTAGGAGAAAACTATTCTTTAATTTAGATATTAATTGCATATCATGAAATACCAACACTCATTGGATATTTTACTAATTTTCTTAACATATTTCATTTGTTCTATAGCAGAATAACTAAGCATCCTGCATATGTGATCCTCAACTGTTTCATTTTGTTGTGTTTTTCTTCCCAAAGATGAAATAAGGGAATAATATTTGTAAATACAAGGTATTCAGAATGAAAATAATACATCAATTATGCAATGTTCTATTTAACACTAAAAATTTAGCAATAACACAGTATTTCCATAATAATCATACTGATATCACAATGCACTTATTTTAACATATCTGTCCTAATAAATCAGTCATTCATACATCTATTCATGCAGCACACTTTCTTTAGATGATGTGCTTCATTAGTAGGTTATATGAATGCTCAGCTGATATGCACATTTATATAACTTTCCTTTCCAATGCACAG